GTTTTCGATGACGACGCCACCATGTTGATACGCTACAGTGACCAACAAACGGACGTGTGTTTAACTAGCAAAGTGCACTATCGTACCGCATAAAAAGGGTGTCGAAAAGAGGGACAGGTTGGATATTCTGGAACGTTTGACACTGGTCATGTTGTAAACTAGGAAGATTACAAACTGAGACTTACCTATGACTTGCACATAACTAATTGACTTCCCGGTACTCCAACCTCTGAAAGCAATCTTTGTCTTTCAGAGGTTCAGCAGCGTTTCTCACCCAAGTGTCAACAACGAGACCCTCCCAACTTCGACGGTCTTCACCCCCTCCCAGGACCCCTTCTTCATCGTCGAGACCATCTGCATCTGCTGGTTCTCTTTCGAGCTGATTATGCGCTTCAGCTGCTCCCCCAGCAAGATGCACTTCTTCAAGGACGTCATGAACACTATCGACTTCTTGGCCATCATTCCCTACTTTGTCACGCTGGGCACGGAGCTGGCCGGGGACAAAGGGGCACAGCCCTCGGTGTCACTAGCCCTCATCCGGGTCATCCGGCTAGTGAGGGTCTTCCGGATCTTCAAGTTGTCTCGACACTCCAAAGGACTCCAGATCCTGGGTCAGACGCTGAAGGCCAGCCTGCGAGAACTGGCCCTGCTCATCTTCTTCCTCTTCATCGGCGTCATCCTCTTCTCCAGCGCCGTCTATTTCGCCGAGGTGGACCGCCCGGAAACGGCTTTCACCAGCATTCCCGAGGCCTTCTGGTGGGCCGTGGTTTCCATGACGACAGTGGGCTATGGCGACATGTACCCGGAGACGGTCGGCGGCAAGTTGGTGGGCTCCATGTGCGCCATTGCCGGCGTGCTCACCATTTCGTTACCCGTGCCGGTTATCGTGTCCAACTTCAGCTATTTCTACCATCGCGAGATGGAGCGGGACGACACAACCGAGTATCAACACGTTTCCACGTCTCTCTGGGAGGACGATGATGAAGATGATGAGGACGAGATGGATGAAGGGCCCGAGGACACACTTTACAGAAGGAACAGCAAATCAAATGGAGATCTTGGTGGAGTGAACAGTCTCCTCAGAGAACCTCTGGTCACTCAGGTGTGAAGGAACCACAGAAGGGGGTTTGTAATCGTAGCAGGGATGGAAAATCAAAAGGATACACAGCGAGAGGGAACCCGCAGTCAACCTGATGAATGCAAAACAACATCGGTTTAAAAGCAGCACGTCATTGAACTCAGTGACATATTTTACGATTTTGAAGTTGGCAACAAATGTTTTGTTCTATGAAAATGTCAGTACGGTTCAATAACATTCTGCATGAACGGCATGTGTGATTCAGCAAAGTTGACGGGAAATGAAAACCGTCCCAGATACAAACAGGCCCTGGGGAGAACGATAGGGTCTTCAGAATCCTTCAAGAACTTCCTCCTGTCACTTTAAGATGGTGAATATCAATTTAAGAGCAACACCGCAAATCACACCGATGAATTTTCTGTCAAGTTAACTTAAATGAATGAATGTCTGAATGTCCCGGTGTAGAGTAACAAGTCCAAACAATTGCATGACCTTTCGTGTCAATAAATCTCTTTGCACGAGTGCGCCCGTTGGCTTTGTGACTCGAGGAGAATGAGCCGCAGTCCCTTTTTTTACGCACCATGTATATACATATGAACAACCCAGCCGCTGGGGGGCAGTGCCCTCCCCTGGGGGTGCACTGTTCCCCAGTGCCGGTCCCAAGCCCGGAGAAATGGGGAGGGTTGCGTCAGGAATGGCATCCGGCGTAAAACTTTTGCCAAGACGACCATGCGAGTTGGTAGGACGGTTTACAGGGGCGGATGGAAATTACTGACTCGCTGTGGCGACCCCTGTATAGGGACGTGCCGAAAGGAGAAGAAGAAGAAGAAGAAGTATATACATATGAACGCTTTTATTGCAGAGTTGTGAGCGTTAAGTTTTACGGAGGTGAAAAAAAAAAAGAGACATCAGAATATAAGCCTCATGTGTTGCCATTCCACCTCGAGGGGTCACAGTTGGACCAGGCTGGTCCAACTGCTGCTTTTCATTTACAAAGCGGTGACATCAAGAAACATCAATGTCCTTCTTGAAATAATCATCATGCTAATGGATGACACATGGTTGTTTGATTTGCTTTGTTTTGACGCAAAAAGTCACAATTGATGCTTCTGGGCCAAGACTCCCATTCGGGACAATTCATTAGGAACACACGATGAACGCTGACTTTTGATTGACACTGACTTAAAAATATGTTTATGATTGTGATTGTGAAACAGCAGCTGCGTGTAATCTTCTGGTGACCTGAATTAGCCACAGGAGAGGCCGAAATATGAACACAGGATTTCCTTAGATTAATTTTTCATATCCCCACACACACATGTATAATTGATCAAACTGTCTGCACATGTAAGTCAGTTCCAACCAGAAGAGAGTGTTTGGTTCTGGAATGCCACACAGAGAGAAAAGCTGCCAACATTTGCTGGGGCTCAATTAGGCTTTGATGTTTAAAAAAATATATACATATATATAAATCTGAAGATTTGGGAATAAATAATTGTGTAAAACAGATCAAGTAAAATTGATTATGTTCTCGTTGTCATATGAATCAAATAAATGTTCTGGCATTGAACTAAATCAACTGTACAGAAGGCTCTGACAGAAACAGCTCCATAGATAGTTCTACAGAACAAAAGATGATTGATTGAATAGTTCCCATGGTGCGGAGAGCAACTCAAACGCGGGTGGTGTAATTCCTACAAGTGGCAGCAGAGGTCACTGTTGCTAAGCATGAACGAAGTACAAGCGAGACCGTCAAAGTATATATTACGTCTGTGCTCATATTTCATATTTGAGCAATCTATTCGACCTATCAATAGAAAGTATATACCTACCTAGCCAGCCACAAAGCTCTACCGAACTAAAAAAAACAAACAAACAACTACCATTGAAAATACCATTTATCTTCCATCTAACTACACTCCCATCAGTCTCCATCTAGACACCCACCCACGTATCTATCTGCCAACTGCCCCATTTATCTACCTACCAACCTACCTACCCAGCATACCAACTGAATAAAGGTAACTACAGCACCTTCTAACCCATTCGTCAATCTATGGACCTACTGTTCTTACATACCTACCCTCCTAAACTACCTTCTGACCCATCCAGCTTGCTGCAAGTCACTCCATGACTTTCAATTCAACAACCCACTTGCCTACATACCCATCTATCTCCCTACCTACCCATCTACTCACTGACCACCGCCCTACACTCATACCAATCTACATATTACCTACCTACCAACGTATCTATCTACATACCTACTGACTTAAATACCAACCCATCTATCAATCTGCCTGCCTAAATATCTTTCACCCCATCTACACACCCATCTATGCAGCAACCACTCTTCAAAAAAGACCCGAACAATCTACTACCTGCGATCTATGGACAAATGAACAACCTACCTAACCGTCCATTTACTCATCTACATACCTTTTTAGCTACCTTCGAAGCTGCCTACCCAACAATCAACTAACATACGTAGATACCCATCAATGTACCCACCTTCTGTTCTACATAATTATCTCGCTAACTACCTCCAACATACCTACCTAGCAGGTGGCATACTGTTCCTTTCCCCCCCAACTCATCAATTATATCTACCTACCTAGCTACCCATCCACCTATCAACCCACCCGTCTACAGGATTCACTCACCTATCTATTGACTGACTAATCGTATATCCCGACCTATGCGATCTTATCCTAACCACTGTGCAAACCAAATTCTTCAAAAACACTGATCCAAACACAGACGCCACTTTTGTGTGTTACTTCCTGTTGTGTAGCGTCACGGTGACATGCCCCCTGCCAGATTAGCGCGCCGCTGTGCCAAAGTTGAATAACATGCGTCAGAACGTCGTCAAACGTTCACCTCCACCTCAGTCGACAACATACACGCAAACAAATAAAAATATGTGCGCACACACCCCCCCACACACACACACGCCAGGGCTGCAACGCAATCATCCATCGCTCTTATGCTGTCTGGGAAGAATGAGAAGGATTGACGTCTTTCTGGCCATCTGCCGCTCCCCATCTACCATCCCTCCATCTTCTTTGAGAGGATTAAGTGTGTTGATACGTGTATCTTTGTCCCATCAATGGTGTGCATGCCTGTATGCGTGTGTGTTGGTCCAGTAATTTCTTTGTGATTTTTTTTTTAACATCTTTAACTGTGACGTGTGACCCCCTTTCCCATGGCAAATCCACCCACAGAAGGCAAGAAGAAAATGCTACTCTTAAAGGAACTTTTGAGGGCGTTTTATTGTATACACACACGCACACACATTCACGCATGCAGGCACACAGACAAACACACAAGACCTGCCGCGTCGAAAGAAAAAGAATGGCATTCAAGCGAAGTCAGGACGTGGGAGGTGTACGTTCCAACAAGATAAAACTAGACTAAAAGTCAAAACAACACCAAAAAAATGGTGTGGCTCGTATGTTTTTCGGCAACAGTGTGTCATTAAACACAAGGAAAGCAGTAAGAAAACTGCAAAGTGATGAGAAATGGAAGGACTTGAACATGTCATAAAATTGGAGGAAGTGGTCCGGTATGGACAAACTTTCCTCCGCCTCAACTAGGCCAAACGAGGAAACAAAGACGACTTGGAAAATTTGGTAGTGGTGACATGATCTTGGTCAGGGTGCCAGAAGTGGTACAGCATGGACAACTGTTCTGCATGCTGTACCATACTGGACCAAACAGTGCTAGTTGGTGGAAATGAGGACGACGTGGTGGAATCGACTGAGAATGTGCTGCAGTTCCACCAATGAAGGAGAAACAAAAGTGGTCTCAGGAAGTGGTACAGTAAATTTAACTTCTCCCCGACTGCACCAAACGGTGCTGCCTGGTGGAAACACGGCTTTCACAGCGGAGTGGTTTGATTTGAAAATGACAAATCCAAGACAGTGAGAGATAAATTAATTTAATAATTTTAGCATCAAATGGGAAGTGTTTTGATTGTAACATGAGTTGAACCAAGTTAGTTGTTTTCATGGTAGGTCACACGGTTGGATGGCATGCCGCCGGTCGTACGCGGTGTCGTCGCTCTCCTCGCCGTCGCTGGGTTCGCCCAGAATGCGCTCTCGTTCTCGCTCTTCTTCCTCCTCCGTCTCGCTCTCTCGGTACAGGCGGTCCCGGTCCCGGTAGCAGAGAGACAGGGCGGGGACCTAGGGGACCACAAACACGTCATTTCAGCCAAGTTATGACGTTAAGTGTTTGAACCCTTACTTCACACTTTTGCTTTCTATCTCTCTAGCTATGTACTTCTTTACTGTATATGCGCAACCACCTGCTTACAACTCGCTCCAGCTACCTATCTAAGAACATATCTACACATCCTTCCTACCTATCCAGTATATCAATATGCTGTACCCACCTATCAATGTACCCAAGTGCCGACCCATCTATCAACCTACCCAACAATCTACACATATCTGCTGTATCTATCCATCCTACATACCAACAATAGACCTGCCATTCGCCTAGCGACCTATGTACCCAGTACCAGCCTAGCTATGTATCCTAACTAATCTACCTACCAAACAATCTACCTACCTTAATAAACGAACATCTATCTGATTGCTAGATACCTAGCTACTAATTGAGCAAACTACCTACCCACCTATCTGACTACCTAACTACCTATCCTCCCTTCGACATACCTACCAATCTACTTAACTACCCAACCAACAATTTACCATCATCCCTATAGCCACCTACCAGTCTACCTACTTATTGAATTCAATACTTAACCAATTCACCGACCTAACCAAAAATGCACCGACCTAACCCAAAATTTAACTCCATAATTTACATAAGAGTACAATTTCTCCAAGGCTACGTAAAATGACATTGAACCTACACGTGGAGGACAAAGCATGCTGGTACCTGGTTGTCGTGGCTGGGCAGGGCGCAGTAGCCCGGCTCCGTCCTGCAGAGGAGGCGAGGCGAGTGGGCGCGGAAAGGCCGAGGAGAGTGGGAGCACACGGAACGCGGGGAAGGCGAGCGGATAGAGCGCGGAGACGGTGAACGGATAGAACGGGATGGAGAATAGGTGACCGAGTGGGACTGGGATAGGACGTGGCCGTGGTGGTTTTGCTTGGGAGGGCGGGGCGAACGGGGGGGAAGCTCGGGCGGCTTGAGCGGGTCCACAAGGTCCATCTCGGTGAGGATGGGCGGTGGCGGGATGAAATCCAATTCTTCCTCCACCGGAAGAATTTGCATTTCGGCCGCATCTATTTCCTGGAGCTCCACTTTGGACAAGTGGTCCACGATACCGGCCCCGAACGAGTCGCCCACAACGTTGATGGAGGTGCGCATCCGGTCGCTGAGTGGTAGAAGGAGTGAGTCATAAGTCTCAAATCTTAAGCTGCAAAATGTCCTCCCCAAGTTACCGTGGCCAAAATCAAGCAGGTGCGAGTCCCTCCCTCAATTTTTCAAATCAAGTTTTTACTTGGATTATGCAAATCATAAATCAAGCCATCTAATCTTCTCCGTCCACTCCACGTGCCCCAATGAACAACCAATGGCCAGCGTGTTTAAAGAGCAAATCGTAACAAAAGGACCATGGCGATCTGTACTAGAGGTCTTCTCCAAACCAGGCGGTTGCTGGTTGGATCCAAAGCCAGAAGTCATAACATTCGAGGCCCGAGTTATTGTAGAAAAAAAAAAAAAAATCAAGTCAGAAGCTCGATATCATAGTTGTCACATCGCTAATTATTGAGTTTCATGACTTGGCAAGTCAAGTCTCACCAGCAACAAGCCAAAGTCAATTTGAGATTTTCATGAGTTTTAGCTTAGTCAGTCGCAAATCTAAATTCAGTGACGCAAGCCTGAGTTGAATCAAGGCTGTGACTTGAATCCTCCACCTCTGCTAAGTGGACAATGGTTTTCCCCCGTGTGAATGACACCAAGCCGCTAAATGCCTTTTGACTCACAGCAGCCAGTCGACGGCGATGAGCAGACTGATGTCCTGGGTGGGGAGGCCCACGGCCGTCAGGATCAACAACATGGTGACCAATCCGGCACTCGGAATGCTGGCTGCTCCCACACTGGCCAGCGTGGCCGTCATGCTGCCATGAGAAAGGACAACCGTATCAAGGACATGTAGCCAACAACTTTGTCGACGACCATGCATTTGGAATTGTTTCTTGAGCCCAATCTGGAAGGAGACTGACTTGTATGATTCTTCTCTACAAGAACAAGTTTTTTTTTCCCGTCTTTTTTTTTTTTTTTGTCACCATGCTGCATTGTCGGGTGGAAGTGGTACTTACAGATTCCCATCATCCCTGAACTAGGAATCTTTGTAGGACCAATGTGTTTTTGGACCAGAGCAACTCTCTGAATACAGTTCATTTTGGAAGTGACCATCCTTTTGGGCAGTTTGTTTAGGGACACTTTCCTTGAGCTGAGGAAATGTCTTAAAGTTAACTTGCAAAACCATAAATGAGGTAGTGAGAACAAGGGATTTCAAAATTAAAGACCTTGCCAAGTGAAATTAGAGGTTTGTTTTTCGAGATGGTACATTATACATATTTGAAGATTATTGCTGAAAATTTCCCTGATTGGGGTGTGGCTAAAATGGGGTCCAGGACGCACTCGGGGCCCAGCACGAGCCACTCCTCCTCCATTATAAGAACTTAAGGGACTTAATTCACATCAGTGGTTAGTTAGCTAGATAGCTATGCTGTGGTCGCTGTAGAGAGCCTTGTTGTTGGCCACAAGTGTAGGCAGGTCACGGAAAAAAGGTAGAAGAGCAAGTTAACATAACTAATGAACTAAATAATAAATAAGTAGTAAATAGTCCAAAGTGGCAGCCAATATGTGGACTTGGCGCTGGCGATCCTGCTTTTGAAACACTTGTCGTGGCGTGGAACAGCTTATGCAGAGTCTTAAGAAAGATGCTAGCTGAAGTAGTATCAATTTTTGGGAATATTATTTGTATATACACTGTATGTTATTTGATTGACAGTTGAGTGGAGCGGTTTCAGTTCATTTAACAGACCTGCACACAGCATTCAAAAGCAGAGAAAACAGCTTGATTTTGCATGTGTCGGGCAATTTTAGCATCTAGTTTTCTTTCTTCACTGTCTGCTGAACTTTTGTGGACATCAACGTTCTACATCTGTGAATACGATAGTCAGCAATGCGCCACATTTTTACGACCATCTCTTGGCCACAAGAGACGATTCAATATTTCGAAGTTAGACTCTGGCGGTCAAGCTGTCATTGATCAAATACTTGCATACACACTGGGACTCATTTGTCAGGGCGCTTGTGACAAATGTTTGCCATCACTGTGAGGAATGAACAAGTTGACTGGTCAGATGTTCATCTCTCCACATCAAACCTGACAATGCGGACGAGTTGCACTTCCTCCAAATGACTTGTGAGTCATTGTGACCTAGCTCCATGGTAGGGATTTGAACTTTAGCAACATGAAAGCGGGCTGGTTTAAAAAGCCACTTAACTGCAGACAGATGCGGCAACCAGTAAAATGTTGGTATTATTACACGATGCGAGGCCGACAAACCACAGACAACAAAGCGCACGCAGGGAAGAAATGCTCGTCAGCAAGTGCAAGTCTGCTGGAACAGACAAGACCTCCGACAGGAATCGATTATGCACAAATGGGAAACACACAGACACACACACAAAGCATCCAAAGAGCGCTGCTAGGATCCTGAGGAAAACAAGAAGAAAAACGTTGGATAATTGAATTTGTCACAGAGTACAGTACTTCGAAATGTATTACATCTGCCAGGGAGGTTATAGTATTATGGCTCTAACTTTGATTTGAACTTTTTTAATATAAATCAAAGATGTTCCACGACCGGGTTGATGTGCCCCATTAAGAGAATCCACAAGTGAATGAAATACAGTTTGAGAAAAGCCTTTCAGGGTGGTGTGCTCTTAGTTTTTTTCATTCATTGCATTATAAATTATAAACCAAATAAAAAGCATAATTTATTATTAATAGTCAATATATGTTGATCAATGCCTTTCATTCCGGATTACAAAAACGATCACCTGCAGCTTTGACTTTGCAGCCTGTACCCAAATAGAGGCCAGCTTGTGTACAGGGGAGCGTCCCCTCCCCATTTTCTTCAACACTGCAGTGTTGCAGACCAGACCAGGAACTGAATCATAAAATACTGTATGTTTGTTCATTTTCTGTATGGCATTTTAGAATAATGTCCTGTTTATTTACAATAAAGGAATGGAAAAGTTGATTTTTTTAAAAGCCGATTCACCAAGTCATCCAAAGGAAAAAAAATGGACAGATTAATCACTTTATAATAATGGTGTGTGTTTTTTTTTTTTTTTTTTTTAGCCTGACCTCACGGTAACAATCTGGCCACCGTCCAGCGTGATGTCATTCATCTGCGCGATGAAGATGGCCGCCACGGCCTCATAGAGCGCCGTGCCGTCCATGTTGATGGTGGCGCCGATGGGCAGCACGAAGCGGGTCACGCGCTTGTCGATCTTCAGGTTTTCCTCCAGGCAGCGGAAGGTCACCGGCAAAGTCCCAGCGCTGAACATTGACACAAAATAGGCAGACAGGTGGTGACTTGCGGAGGTGAGGACAGACGTGGGGGGTCAGCAGTTGGCATGGAGACCAAATAATGCGGAAAAAGTGAACAGAAGCGAGCCTCCTCCGGAAAAGCTGGTCCGGGCCACGCTGGCCATCAGGCGCGTGTATTAGAGGAATTTGATTCCCGGGTGGAGCTAAGCTGGGCTCGTAATATCATTAAAGGAAAGAAATCTTGATAGGATTTCCCATTTGGATTCAAGTCATGTGGCAAAATAACAGTTGCTTGGCATTGGATTTTGCTTTGTTTGTTGTTCCTGGGACGGCAAAACTTTTGGGCTTCAAGAGCCATGTCGGTGTTTGAAAACACAAAGATGGACGACGTAATCTGTCATTGTGGTGCATAAAAAAGTCAAACTATGAACTTTTTTTGTATGTAATATACTGTATACTAAAGATCAGGGGATATTGTTAATGTTTGACAACTGTGGGCATGTGAAGCCATTTGAGATTTTTCTGTGATTCAGGGCTGTATAAATAAATTTGACTTGACTTGAATTAAGAATTAATAGAGTCAACTACCCACTTTTTTGATTCTAATGTATATAAAGAATAGCTTATTCATAAAAAAATATATCATTTAGAATTGATCCACCAAATTAAATTATAAAAATAACCTGCATCAATAATTAAATATCAAAATTCCTATTATTGATATTAATTATTGATAATTAAGTAAAAAAGTGGAATTGCATTATCAAAATAAGCTTACATATACAGTATGGATTCAGTTATGGTATTGAATAATTACTGAGCCGATTTAACTTCTGTAATATTATAAATATAAACAATAAACAGTTTTACAAATAGTTCACACATTTGCATAATGTATAAACAATAAACAAAATTAATGATTTATCACATATGCATACATTCATTTTTTTAATCCACTTATCCTCACAAGGGTCGCAGGCGTGCCGGAGCCTATCCCAGTTGTCTTCGGGCAGTAGGTGGAGGACACCCTGAACTGGTTGCCAGCCAATCGCAGGCACACAAAGACGAACAACATGCAATTCCACACAGGAAGGCCAGAGCCGGAATCGAACTCTGCACCTCCGCACTGTGGGACCGACATCCTTACTAGTCGACCACCATGTCGCCCTATATGCATACACTGCTTCTCTGTTTTTTTTAAAATTGCATTTATTTCTGTAGCTGATCTAAAAATGGTTTTACCGCATCCTTCTCACCTACTGGCCGTGCCCAATGCGGTGATCCACGCCTGGAAGATGCCTGAGTAGAAGGTGAAGGGGCTCTTGCGGGTGATGCCGAAGAAGATGGCGGGTAGGATGAGGCCGCCGTGTATCATTAGGCCCACCATGACGGTCACCATGTACATGCCCAGCTGCCGTGCCACCAACTCCAGATTCCCGATGGCCGCAATTTTGCCCGCGATCAACGAGGCGATGCCCACCGGGGAATACCTGCAAAAATGTTTGCGGTCAGTCCTTTGGGCCTTGGCAGAGGTTGTGATGGCACTCACGTCTGTGCTGAAAATGGTATTCTTTTTTTCATGTTGCCACAAACAGGAGTGTAATAGCCTCATTCACCATGTGATCTACATTCCAGTACAAATCATGAGAGACAGAATCTGCGAACGCCATTGATATTTTAATGTCACCACTTACAGGACTGGAATGCAACAGTTTACCTAGTTTACATTCATTTGGGACTGTACTTTTTGTTGTTACAGTCCACTTGCATTGGGGCCAAGTGAGGCAATACCCCACCAGATGCAGCATAAGGAGCCGTGACAGCCATCTGCCAACTAAAAGATCTAAAGTGGCATTTATCAGATTGCCTGTTGAGCCTTGACGGAAGTCTACGCTCTCCATTCTGGTCGGAAAAAAATGTTTGTATTCAACATGGCATGGCTTCATTTCAACGGGCAGCTCAGATTCCTGTCCAGCTGCTTCTTCACTGCGGCAACGTCACTCCGGACAGGTCAGCTGCATTCCGACGTTGGTGTCCAGTGGCAGTTGTTTTTCCGAAGCGTGCCGCGCACGCGCTGATGGATGTCTTCCTCGTAGAATGCGAGTTTTTGTATACACTGGCCTCTGTGTTTAGCTGCTGGCTAATGTGTTTACATAGAGCGAGTGATGCAAACATGCATGTTTCCTCTGGTGACCAGCTGCATATGGACAGTGTTTTTTCGACACCACCCACCGCAGTTGAGCCTCTCCACGTGGTCTTCATTCTGTTGCTCTGATGTTACTGCTGAATTGCGGTGGTAAGTAAAAAAGCACAAATACTGCAGTACCTTGACTTACAGTCGTTAAAGTCATTCCGTCAAAAAGTGATTCACTGCTTGCAGATTCACTTATTTGCAGATAGTGTTCGGGAACATATCCTGCGTTAATCACCATTTTGTGGCATCTTGGTGCGAAGGAAGTAAGTTGAGACGCTTCATGCAGTGTTTTGCCGCCGGCTTTGTGACATCTACAGGCAATTCTAAATACTTTGTGGTGGGCGTCGATTATTTGCGGATTTGTGCTCTCAAAAATATTTTTTTCTTTAGGTTGTACAGGTTAGCGGTCACATTAATGGTGGAAGAAGTTTTGAAAATAATATTATTATAGAGACGTTTTTTACATCACAAAAACGTGGCATTTGAACAGGGGGGTGTAGACCTTTTATAGCTACTGCAATTGACAGTAAAAGTTCATTTTTCTTACATTTCAACATCTGGACATTATTATTATTTATTATTTTTTTTACTTGCACTTAAGTCAAGACGTTGAATCAGTACTTCTGCTTTTACCAGAAGGTCCCCCCCCCTCGCTCCCCTTCCCCATACGCACACAAGTAGAGACGTATCTGTAATTCTACTTAAGTACAGGGTGTGAGTACTTCTGCCACTTCTGCGAGATGGTTACACTGTGGAGATGTTCCGCGACGTCCCCCAGGGGAGAAGTCAACATTGTTCGTACTCCCCGAGCATGTGTGCATACCACAGAGTCCAGGATCCCATCTGTCCATGTCCTTCACACCGACGCCCCCCCCAC